AAAAAAAACCATGCACGGTAATTATTTTGTATATTTTTATTTCTTGCAGCTTCAGAGTTTCCGTTTGGTCAGCTTCCAGTGCTTGAAGTTGATGGAGTGATGCTTTCTCAATCGTTTTCTATAGCAAGATTTTTAGGCAATGAATTTGGTAGGTTTCTTTTTTTTTTCGAAGAAGTTCTCAACAAAACAGGAAAGGAATAAAGTACTCGTCATTAAAACTGCATCCAAGTGTGCATTTTCAAAGAGCATCTATGTATTTAATTCCTTTTTCATCCTTCCTTCAGTTATAAATCATTTCACCTTCCCTCTGTCACTCCATTTTATTCCCCCTTCCTTTAATCTTCTCCCATCCTCTCTCCATCCCATTCTCCCTCTTTTCCAACCTCCCTTCAGCCACATCTCCCAATCCTCCCCTACCTCTATCTCTCCCTTTTTTCCTTCTTTTGATGCACCCTCTTTTCCAACCCTCTCGTTTTCCCTTCCTTCCTATCTTTCCACTCTTTCCCTTCCATCCTCTTACGCTCTCTCTCTCTCCCTCCCTCCCTCCCTTCCTCCATCCCTTCCTCCCTCCTCCCTCCCATCCTCGCTCCCTTCCATCCCTACTCCATTTGTCCCTCACTTCCTTAGTTCTTTTCTCTCTTCTTCTCTTCCGCTACTCTTTCATTTTTTCATTATCATACTTTTTGTCTCTTTCGTACGTTCTTTCCTTCATAAGTTTTGCTTTCACTAATTCTCCTAGGTCTTACTCCCTCCACCAATTTGGAAAAGGCTAAAGCAGACATGATTGTGGATGGCGCTGCTGATTTAACCGAAAAACATGCTTCAGCTTTCTTTGAAAAAGACCCAACTAGAAAGGTAAACAGTCTCTAATCGTATTTATAAAGTTATCCGTCTTTTCCAGTTAATATTCCAGTTCGTCGCTGCGCAGTTTACAAGAGATTATTATGAGGAATTTCAGTGCGGTCTTCGACTATCTCGTACGACCAAAACTAAGGTAATCTCCACGACCAATCACAGCGAAGAAAAATCACCAAAAGCCAATGAGAGCTTAGAGCTAAAACACGCTAGGGGCCCAAAACGCGGGAAAACGCAAAAAGCAACACGCGATTTGCCTCAAACTTGCGTCTGATTGGTTGACAGGGTAGCGGAAGTTTTCTAGACCAATCGAAGAGCGATTCAGTGGTGTATTACTTTCAACACATATTTGAAGGTCGCCCCAATAACTTACTCATGCAGTCGAAATCGCTACCGCAATGTTGCAATGTAGGCAGTGTCGAGTTCAGGCTGTCTCTTGCGTTTCAAGAACTCTCCAGATTCTAGAGTTGCAACTCAGTTGAAAAAATGAATCTTTATGCTGGTACTTCATTTTTAACTTGAGAAATAATCACAGGAACGCCATGTATGCCACTTATTTTATTCCCCGTTCATTCCTTGATTCAGGCTAAGTTGCAAGAGGAAGTGAAAGCTGCTACCCCTGGATTTCTCGCTCGCTTTGAGAAACTTCTTAAGGGCAATAATGTTGGGAAAGGATTCTTTGTTGGTGACAAGGTACGACGTCACACTTTTTAAGTCAGTCGGTCTGTCTGTCACTTAATCATTCACGACTCAGCCCTTCTGTTGGTGGTTAATTCATTCATTCAATTATAGTTATAAGATTTGTTTAAGCACGAATGTATTCCTCTATTTTTGTCACGTTCGCTTTTTGTTCGTTAGTTTCTTTCCCTTTTTGTGTTCTTTGCAGGGGTAAATCACGCGCGCTACGCTCACCGATCTTTCCTTTCACGCAGCTGCTCCTAAAATATGGAGTGATCTTACGTGTCCCATCAGAAATATTGAATCCTTGAATAGGTCAAGTGATCTAATCAGACCTTTTTATTCGAAAAAGCTTTTTAATATAATATATATATATATATATATATAACGTATATATGTATAACGTATATAAATATATATATACATAAATACTGATATATATATATATATATATATTCAAAAACTTCGCAATTTGAAAATATGCAGGAATAACATGCATCTTTAGTTTTCTCGTCAAAGAGACACTTTTTGGGAAAATAAAAGGTGCATATATTTCATTTCTTTTTTCGAATTGACGGATATATATATATATATTTATATTTATATAGCTATATTACTTCTATATTTCTTAGCCAATTTTAGTCATTTTTTTATTATTGTTTAGGTTTAATAGTTAGATTTAGGTTTATTCATTTTATTGCACAACTAGAAATTTGACATTGCTACTTGCACAATATAAGCCAATAAACAATTTTAATTGTGCCTTTTTTTTTTTGTATATGTATAGCTAACCTATGCAGACATCATCTTCTTTAACATGGTAAATGCCCTCTTTGCACAAGGAAAGGTGGAGGTTCCAGCATTGATCAAAGATTTTCCTCTTTTGATGTCTCATTATGAGCGTGTTATGGCGATCCCAAACATCAACGAGTATCTCAAAACACGACCTGAATCAGCCATGTGAAAGGGATGGTTTATAAACATCTGAGTTACTAAAGCTCAAACGAATTTAAACAAGTGCTTAAACACTGAAAAGTTTGTTTGTGCCAATAAATGAAA